AGGGTTGCTGAGAGAGGAGTAAATGATCCCTGCAAAGTATTTAGTTTGCATAATGCTTGGCACATAAAAAGGGTGCTGTAATTTTTTAAATAGATTTAACAGTGGAACAATTTTACTAGAAAACAAAATATAGATTATCCAAGAAAACCACCAACAAAAGAACAAGTGAAGACTGTGACTATAAAGACAAATGCTCCTCGGATGGTCCCTTCTTACTCTTCCCAAGTGCCCGGAATGGGGAGGTCTGTTTGGTCCCGTGTGCCGCCTACTTTTGTTACTAAACTCAGGTTTGCTTGCTCACTTCTCAGAGACCTGTAACTGAGGGGAAGGTGTCAGTAGAAGGGAAAGGTGCTTTATTCAAAAAAGCTGGCAATTTGGGGAGAAGGCAGACTCGTGTCTGGAGACCAACTCAAGATTCTGTTCAGCCATGGTAATTTTCAAAGGGAAAAAGGAGAAACAACCTCATTTAATCTTTAAGGTAGGAGGTCAGATTCTTTATCATTTCTCCATTGTGTGCAGGCCTGCTGATTTCTCTTGACCTTCTTTTGGATGCTCTCTTGCCTGTTTGGTCAGCCTGCAAATTTGCTAAGAGGGGAAGCTGGGGATAGAGAGTTAGTCATTATTTTTTAACTACTTAATTTTTCATTCTTGCTTCTTTTATCCAGGAAAGGATTCAATAGGTTAGGCAGGACATTGTATATATTCAGTAGAGCAGAAGACAGGAGTTAGGTTAAATGTTATCAACTGACGTCATTTTTATAATTAACGTTTTGGAGAAGCAGAAATAGGCTAATAGGAAAGGGGCAAAAGAGCTGCTTCCAGACCCCCACTTGTCAGACATCATTCTGAGCCTAGAGGTGAAGGTGAAGGCCCATCTTCTGTAACGTTTTTATTTGCTGTTGTTGACACTGTTGTTCATTTGTTCAGCTCTACTCTTTGCAACCTCATGGAGTGCAACTTTATGCTGACATAGGGTGCTATATGTCACTCTATGTCAGAGTAGAAGATACTGACATGGTTTTGTGGCATCTGTTTGGTGACAGTTTTAGTTGCCTACTTATATTTGTGGGCAGAGCAAGCTACAATCATTCCAATTCTCACAAAGATATAGATTATTATGAGCAAGAGTGTTAATACCATTCTTTCATCAGACACTGAGTCTATGACTCTCTTGTCATAATCATTAACTGCTTGAGCCTGCTCTTTTGTGACTCTGGGAGGCTTCAACTTTTCTACAAATAAGAGGCAGGGGACATAGAGGGCCTTTGTTCTTGGGGGGAGGGGGCCATGGGGTTCTGCTCAGTTCCACTATGACTATGATACCACAAAACCCTTCTGATTCCTTGTATTCATTGCCTATGCTATGTAACAGATTATCACAAACTTGACAATTTAAATCAAATTTATTATCTCATTTCACAGCATAACTAGATACTGTGCTTGGGGTCTCACTGGGCTGAAACCAAGGTTTGGCTGGGGTTGCAGTTCTTCATTCTCACAGGGCCCTCTTCTAAGCTCATAGGTGGTTGGCAGGTTGCCTTCCAGTTGCAGAAGTGAGGGAGGGCTTCATTTCTCTTTGAATTGTTAGTCATTCCTAGTCACAAGACCTCCACAGGAAATTCTCACTATGGATGTTTGTTTTCTTCCAGCCTCCAACTCACTTCTCCTGCCTTGACTCCCCCTCCTGCTTTTAATCTCTGTTTTCTCAGGTCTCTGACCTCTGGACCAAGATATAATGGGCTCAATTGATTTAGCCCATCTGGATAATCTCCTTATCTTCAAATCAAATTGATCTGGAACTTTAATTACATCTGCAAATTTCCTTCACAGCCATACCTAGAACGATGTTTGAATAACTAGGAGAAGGTGTATATATACCCAGGGGTTGGGAGCGTTGGGGGGGGGTCCATCTGAAGAATTCTGTCACCACACTCCTGAAGCCCCTGCAAATTCAGTCACAGGACTGAGCAGTGTTTTTAGTGGCATTGTTGCATTTAACACTGGCCCTTCTGGCCATTTCCCTACATTTACATTTGAATGACAAGTTGTTGAATAGCTCAAAGGCCAAGAGACATGCGTTTAGAAGAGTGACAAATTTTTTTTCCCCTATGCTCTTAGGATACCTCTGAATGATGTGTAATAATAGGTCTCTCACCTCTCTTTGCCCCTGATACCTAAATAATCATTGGGTCAAGGAAAGAATTTATCTGTCATTTAAAGGAAAGAAAAAAAAAAAGGAGCTTTCAACTCATAGTTGCTTATTATTCCTCACTTCAAGATTTGAGAAGTGTTGGTTTCATCAATGTCCTGGCAATAAATCAGTTGAGGCCAAGCCTGGTTTGAGGGGGTTCTTGAACATAAGCTTGCCCTGAACATATATTTAATTTTGGAGCAATATATTTCATGCTGTCAAATCAAGTGGCATCATTCAAGAGGCCTCTAATTCAGACACAGTCAGACTGAGAAATGAGTAATAAAAAAGGAGCAAGGGGCAAATGCTGGTTGAGGGTGGGAGTGAAGCACAAATCACAGCTGAAAGGCTTAGCCTCCAAGGCTGCCAGCAACAGCTGTCTCCGCAATGGCTTCTGTCAGGTGAAACTCCAGAACTTTTCAGGTTCATCTGCATTTGGCATGCAGCAGTGCTGCAAGCAACAGCTGTCTATTAATTGACCTAGGAAGAAAAGAGACCCCTACCTCGCCCCTCAATACACAAGATCCTAAGGATCAGTCTATATTCATGTCCTTTAATACATTCAGGCATGTTATTAGCTGTTCACTGGTTTCTGGTCAGTGCAGTACACAAAGGAAATAAGAGATGGTATAGTCATTTCTTGATCATCTGGAGATATCCAAGTTTACACCATGTAAAGTTTGTTCTAATAGGTATTTTAGATACCATGAAAAATGTCAGTGTTGACACGTTTTGATCTGTGTCCCAAGGAAAACTCTAAGTGCATTTTTAAATTGCCTGTTTTTGTACTTTTTCCCTTTGTGAAAGGTAATTATAAACTCATTTCCATGCTGCAAAGATTCTAAAGCCCATCATAATTAAGCTGGTGTTCTTAAATTGCTGTTATTGTTTACTTGCTAAGTTATGTCCACTCTTCACAACCCAATGGACTGTCGCCTGCCTCTGTCCATGGGATTTCCCAGGCAAGAATACTGGATTGGGTTGCCATTTCCTTCTCCAAGGGATCTTCCCAATCCAGGGATTGAACCCATGTCTCCTGCATTGGCAGGCAGATTCTTCACTGCTAAGTCAATCAGGGATCCTCTGATTCTTGAGCCTTTTTGTCCTGCTCACCCAAGGAAAAAGAAGATAATATAAGGGCACTAAATGCACTTGATCCCGAGGAAAGAGAAGGTGATACAGGAACACTAAATGCACTTCCTACTTTACAGAACTAAGGCAATGTCTCTTTTCTCTCTGAAGATTCATCCCTAAAGCAAACCATGGCCTCTAACTTAGCACTGACAGAAAAGAAACCAAATTTCAGAATACTTCAAAAGAAAAACAAAATGAAACAATTTTAACTACAAATTTTAACTAACCTATTTTGGGGAGGGGACGGAGGGAGGTTATCTCTAACTGCCTTTAGACATGGAAGAGCAGTACTTTGCTCACACCTAGTTAAGTGAGTCCAAGCTCAGTTCAGTTGCTCAGTCATGTCCGACTTTGCAACCCCACGGGCTGCAGCGCTCCAGGCCTCCCTGTCCATCACCAGCACCCGGAGCTTGCTCACACCCATGTCCATCGAGTCAGTGACGCCGTCCAGCCATCCCATCCTCTGCGTCCCCTTCTCCTCCTGTCTTCAGTCTTTCCCCNATTTGCAATTAGTCTGCCAAACATAATTTGGCAGTACACTTTGGGCAAGTTTATTTGGAAAAAGCTTTTATTTGGCTAAAGCTTCATACTGGTATGAATTCTGAGAAACATGCTAAAATTATAATATATACATTTAAGAGTTATGCTATATATCCAGGAAATCAAGTCAAGATGAGCAAATTGTAATTTGGTTTTAAAACCAAGAAAATGTTAGAACTGAAGCTTTCCTTCAACAGAATGGCTTACCTTTTAAAGCAGGTAGTAACTTGTCTTCATAGGTATTTTAGCGGATGATCATATGTCATGGGGGGCTTCCCTGGTGACTCAGTGGTAAATAATCTGCCTGCTAGTGCAGGAGAATGTGGGTTCAATCCCTGGGTTGGGAAGATCCCCTGGAGAAGGAAATAGCAACCCACTCCAGTGTTCTTGCCTAGAGAATCGCAGGGATGGTGGAGCCTGGTGGTCTGCCGTCTATGGGGTCGCACAGTCAGACACGACTGAAGCAACTTAGCAGCAGCAGCAGCCAGCATTGTTGCCTGGGAAATCCCATGGACAAAGAAGCCTGGTGGGCTTCAGTCAGTCAGACATGGTTTAGTGAATGAGCATGCACCTGTGTCATGGGTCCTCAAGGAAGTCCCCTGCTTTGTGTCCTCTCTGTTCCCTTCTAACTTAAAACTTCTGTATTCACTAACATCAGATAACTGAATTTAATATTTCACTTAAATATTTTGTTTATGTTGAAAAACCTTCTCAGTTGGATAGATATATTAATCACTCATGCCATGAACTCTAGCGTAGACAATGCAAGAGACTTATTGTCATTTGTGAGGCTTAATAGACTTGTACACTTATATACAATATCAAAAAAATAGCCCTAAGTATATCTACTTATTCAACCTACCATCCAAAATGTAGACATTGTGATTGGCAGATGAGTCAAAGAATATTTGTCTGCTCTGAAAAAATAGCTACACACAACTTTAGAAACTATAGTATTGCAGAAAAAAATTTAAAAACCTGGTCGGAAGCAGACTTCTCTCAGGCATAAAGTATCTAATTTTCAGGCTTTATCGCAAAAGCAACTCAGTTTCATCACAGAAACTTTTCCAGTGCTTGTGAGAAAAGAACAAAACACACACACAAACTACAAAAGATTTTGAATTTCTCACAAGTATTTTGGTACTTAAGCTTTTTATTTTATGATTTTTATGCTTATCCAATTGTTTCATAAACATAATTCTTGCTTCCTGGGAACAATCCTAGTTCTAAAAGTCAAGAACAAGTCTGAACACCCATCGCTGAATGAGCCTGGGCATATCACCAGGACTCTGTTTTTTAATGTTCACTTACCACCAATGACATAACCTCCTCAGAGTAGCTGGTAAACTCTCAAAAGGTCATGGATCTGACAATGCTTTGGGAAGTATGAGCAATATGCAAATACATTTTTTATGTACTTCTATTATATGATACCTATCCAGGATAGTAGGTGCTGAGCCAATTACAGGAGAAGTATGATAAAAAAAAGAACTATTGAAAATAACTTTAGCTAACTTTCCCATTTGGTTTATCACTTCCTCTCTCTATATATATGTTTACAATTATACCGTCCTTCCTCAAATAAGACACAGACCCTCTTTCTCTTCTCTCAGGGATTTATTGGTCCCTGTGGAACCTGCAAAGAAGGCCATCAGTCACAGCCCATGAATGACAATCCATGTTTGTCTTTTCAGTCATGTAGTATCTGCAGGACTGAAGTCTGTCAATGTCCATGTTTCTGTCCAGAACATCTGTAACTGCCATGCTTGCTGTGTGTCGTGGGGACGTGGAGAGAAGGCAAATTCATGGGTGGTACTTTCATCCAGTGCGGAAGGCCTTCCCTTTGGGGTCTGACAGGATGACCACACCCCAGCAAGCAATGCCTAGGGGGAAAATAGACAAAACAGTACTTTATGTGCTATGCAAGTACCAAGTGCTTTCATATATGTCAACTCTAATCCTTGATGATTTCTTACAGAAGACTGAAGCTCAGGAAAGGAAAGTTGAGAGAAAAAAAATTCTGTTACTTTCCCTATGCAAAGAAGTATTTGATCTAAGCAATCTAGTTAAGAAGATAAGAGATATGAAAAATTAAAATTCTATTCACTCAATTGATCTAAAGAGCTAAAAGAATCACTACATTTTACCAGAAGACATCTTGACCATCACTTAGTATCCTTACAAATAATAACTATGGGGTCACAATACACAGAAGACCTCATATGTGGGCTTTAAACCCATGTCTACAGTTTACCCTCAAAGCCAAAAGTCAAGTGGCCTCACTCAGGCTTTCTCCACAACCTAGAAAAGAAGTTTGGGTTTTGGTGACACATAAACCCGGGATCAAAGACTGGCTGTGTGTCACATCCTGGATGTCTGACCGCAAACAAATTTACTTCTCTGTCTGGGTTTGTTCAATAGGAAAATGGGACTACTATGCTCATACCTATTTCTAATAGCTCTCAATAGGATTAAAAAGATTGAGGCTAGAATTCTCAAAAATATATATATATGTTATTAAGTGTTATATAGTGTTATTTAAGAAAAAGCAAAGCAAAAAAAGTATCCCAACAAATATTTCTTCCCGCCTCGCCCCACCCCGCCCTGCCCCACGCGGCCCTGCGTCTTACTGGAGGGCATGCCTGCCGCCACGTGACCAACCCAGGTGCCTCGCTTCCCCACCCCACGCCCCACGTGTCTCATCTCCTCTTCTCCATCTCCCTCTCCCTCAGCCCAAGGGTGGTGCCCAGACTCTCACTGATGCCGAAGATCATCTGCGCAATAGTCCCAGGACCCGGGGGATATCCCAGCTTCATGGGCTTCCGCGCCATCCAGTACACATACCCGCCTGCCCCTATCAGCCCCGACCCGGAGAGCACGCGACAGCTCCAGCAGTTATTAAATAGAGGGGCTTGCGCTGGAGAGGCTGGCGCTCCGGGTGCAGTGACCTGTGCGGGCTTAGCGGTGGAGGAAGCCTCGGGAGGCGCAACGAACTTGACCGGCTCAAGGGGCTGTGAAACGAAAGAACCCATGTTAAGGAAATCAGCCTCAGCCCCAAATCGGGTCCCGTGAACTGACGTAAAAGATGTGCCCGGAAGTAGCGCCAGCGCGCTGCACCGGAAGCTGCCTGAGGGCCACTGGGAAATGTAGTTTCTTCTGCCCCTGGGAGGGAAAGGAACGAGGAGGGGCCTGCTGTTCGGGTGTGGTGTGTGGTTAAAACCTTTACCATTCCAGAGGCTTGCTTTCGTTGTTGTTGTTGTTTTTTAATCCCTCCCAGTCCTTTTAAGAATTTAGCCAACTCCCTAAATGCCTTGAACTCCAAGTCTCCATAGAGGAAAAGTCTGTGTTTCTCAGTATCCTGTCTTAATAGGAAAGATGAGGCCTCGGGTGTGTCACTTCACGTGAGTGCAAGTGTTTGACTTAAAAAGAATTAGGTAGTGTATGCCTAACTTTATGCCGGACACTTTGCTAAGCGTTTATATGCAGTATGGCATTCACTATTCTCAACCCAACACGGTTATCAGTTTCCCAGTATATGACAAAACTGTTAGGTAAGGTAGCCGTGGTTGACCCAATGTCTGTGAGGAGATAGAATCAGATTTCTTAAATGCTACAAAATGTGAAGGGACAACACAGATATAAGACAGTTATTCAAAATGCATTTGAATAACCTCTATAAATACTTTAAATTTCTCTTCAGCATTTTTCATCCCATCTTTCCTTCAGGGATGGTTGAGCCAATATTTCTTGTGCTGGATTGTGCAGAGGATTATTGATAAGAAAGAAAAGCATTTAGAGTTCAGAGGCTGTTTTGGATAGAAGAGATGGACAAAAGCAGGATTAACTTCAGGTTTGAATTTTTCTGATATACAGTGGCTTAAAAAATTAACATGATAAAAAAGAAAATTCACTATTCCTTTTTCTAAAACAGGATGTGATTTTGGAAAGCTAGGAAAAGAGGCAAAAATAAAAATATGGTTAAATAGAAGAAAATAAAGTAGTAAGAATGCTAGGTTGTGTGTGTGTGTGTGTGTTTTTAATCCCTCCCAGTCCTTTTAAGAATTTAGCCAACTCCCTAAATGCCTTGAACTCCAAGTCTCCATAGAGGAAAAGTCTGTGTTTCTCAGTATCCTGTCTTAATAGGAAAGATGAGGCCTCGGGTGTGTCACTTCACGTGAGTGCAAGTGTTTGACTTAAAAAGAATTAGGTAGTGTATGCCTAACTTTATGCTGGACACTTTGCTAAGCGATTATATGCAGTATGACATTCACTATTCTCAACCCAACACGGTTATCAGTTTCCCAGTATATGACAAAACTGTTAGGTAAGGTAGCCGTGGTTGACCCAATGTCTGTGAGGAGATAGAATCAGATTTCTTAAATGCTACAAAATGTGAAGGGACAACACAGATATAAGACAGTTATTCAAAATGCATTTGAATAACCTCTATAAATACTTTAAATTTCTCTTCAGCATTTTTCATCCCATCTTTCCTTCAGGGATGGTTGAGCCAATATTTCTTGTGCTGGATTGTGCAGAGGATTATTGATAAGAAAGAAAAGCATTTAGAGTTCAGAGGCTGTTTTGGATAGAAGAGATGGACAAAAGCAGGATTAACTTCAGGTTTGAATTTTTCTGATATACAGTGGCTTAAAAAATTAACATGATAAAAAAGAAAATTCACTATTCCTTTTTCTAAAACAGGATGTGATTTTGGAAAGCTAGGAAAAGAGGCAAAAATAAAAATATGGTTAAATAGAAGAAAATAAAGTAGTAAGAATGCTAGGTTGTGTGTGTGTGTGTGTGTGTGTGTGTGTGTGTGTTATTTGCTCAGTTGTCTACAACTCTTTGTGACCCCATGGACTGTGGACGGCCAGGCTCCTCTGTCCATGGAATTCTCCAGGTAAGAGTACTAGAGTGAATTGCCATTTTCTTCTTCAGGGAATCTTCCTAACCAAGGGACTGAACTCAGATCTCCTGGCTTGCAGGCAGATTCTTTAGCCTCTGAGCCACCATGGACATAGAGAGAAAGCCATAAAGATAGATAGATATTTAACAAAAGGGAAGGGTCTTTGAAATTAAGTAGCAGATTACCTAGTATTCTCTTTCTCTCCATGGGGTCACAAAGAGAATACTAGGTTATCTGCTACTTAATTTCAAAGGCCCTCCCCTTTTGTTAAATATTTGTCAGTCTTTCTGTCTGTCTTTGTGTATGTGTTGAATAGTTGAAAGACAAAGGTTTTAGAAATTTGGGATCTGTACCTGGCTCTGTTACTATGAGTCAGGCATATGACATGGAGAACATTATTCTCTCCAGCTTGTAGTGATCTCATTTTTGAGACTTGAAATAGGTGACATATAATTTCTTTCCTAACTTCAAAATTCTATTAATTAGTAATCTCTCTTTAGTTAGAATTGTATTAAATGCTGTACCAAATGAATTAACAGTATTTTATTTATAAATTTGTAGTTTAATCGCTTCTCGGCCTTTTGGCTAATATCAGGTGTAGAAATTCGTAGTTTATAGCTGCTGCTTCTTGCTATGCCCCAAAAAACTATTCTATAGTACGTTTAAATTCTCCTTATATATGTGGAAAATCATTATTTAGCAATGGTTACTAAACATTTTGATTGCAATGCTCTATAGATTAAAAAAGACTGAGCCCACAGTAGAATTTATGTATGCCTGTTTATGATTTATAAGTTATATATTAATGTGTTACTTTATGGGCTTCCCTAGTGGCTCAGTGGTAAAGAATCTTCCTTCAAAGCAGGAGCTAGAAGAGCTGTGGGTTCGATCCCTGGGTCAGGAAGATCCCCTGAGGAGGACATGGCAACCCAATCCAGTATTCTTGCCTGGAGAATCCCCATGGACAGGGGAGCCTGAAGGCTACAGTCCACAGGGTCTCAAAAAGTCAGACATGACTGAAGTGACTTAGCACAGTACAACACATGCTGCTTTATATACTGTGTGTGCATGCTAAGTCGCTTCAGTTGTGTCTGACTCTTTGCCACCCTGTGGACTGTAGCTTGCCAGGCTCCTCTGCCCATGGGATTCTCCAGGCAAGAATACTGGAGTGGGTTGCCATGCCTTTCTCCAGGGGATCTTCCCAACCCAGGGATTGAACCCAGGTCTCCCACATTGCAGGCAGAGTCTTTAACATCTGAGCCACCAGGAAAGCCCTCAACTGGCCTAGCAAGGAAATGTCTTTCAAGATAAGCTTCATACACTAGGACAGAACGAAGAAAATTTAGAAGACACCGTAAGCTTCATGATTAGGTTTATTATGTACCAATAACTCATCCTTTTCTTACACCTATGGGCTCATGGAACAGTATTTTACAGCCAGCTAACAAAGGGAAAAAAACCAGAACTGGTTCACAGATGTCTACTAGATATGTTGAGGCAAGATTAAAAATAGACTGTGGCTGTACCAACTCAAGGGTGGAACCCAACTCAAGGGTGGCCCTGAAAGACAGTAATGAGGAGAAATTCTCTCAATGAGCAAAACTTGGGTCAGTGTATCTGGTCATCCAGTTCATCTGAAAACAACAACTGGCCAAAGATAAGGACATACATGGACACATGGACAATGAAAAGGTGGTTTTACTGATTGGTCAGAGGCCAGGAAAGAGCAAGACTGGAAGATCAGAGATAAGAAACAAAGTCTTAGAAAAAGTGTTTAGATGAGCCTGTAGCAGTGGGTACAAAGGTTGCTGCTGCTGCTAAGTCACTTCAATTGTGTCTGACTCTGTGTGACCCCATAGATGGCAGCCCACCAGACTCCCCTGCCCCTGGGATTCTCCAGGCAAGAACACTGGAGTGGGTTGCCATTTCCTTCTCCAATGCATGAAAGTGAAAAGTGAAAGTGAAGTCGNAGAGGAACTAGAGGGCCTTTTGATGAAGGTGAAAGAGCAGAGTGAAAAAGCTGGCTTAAAACTCAACATGGAAAAAATGAAGATCATAGCATCTGGTTCTATCACTTAATGGTAAATAGAAGGGGAAAAGTGGAAGCTGTGACAAACTGTATTTTCTTGGGCTCCAAAATTATGGTGACTATAACCATGAAATTAAAAGATGATTGCTCCTTGGAAGGAAAGCTATGACAAACATAGTTTATTAAAAAGAAGAGACATCACTTTGCTGACAAAGGTCCATACAGTCAAAATTGTGATTTTTCCAGTAGTCAGTATGGATATGAGAGTTGGACAATAAAGAAGACCGAGTGCCAAAGAATTGATGCTTTCGAATTCTGATGCTGGAGAAGGCTCTTGAGAGTCCAGTGGACTGCAGGAAGATCAAACCAGTCAATCCTAAAGGATATCAACCCTGAATATTCATTGTAAGGACTGATGCTGACGCATGAATGCTTTGGCCACTCAGTGCAGAGGAGCCAACTCATTGGGAAAGACCCTGGTCCTGGGAAAGATTGAAAGCAAAAGAAGTGGACGACTGAGGATGAGATGATTAGATAGCCTCACCAGTTCATTGAACATGGATTTGACTAAGTCTGGGAAGTAGTAAAGGACAGGGAAGCATGGCATGGTGCAGTCCATGGGGTCACAAAGAGTCAGGCAAAACTTAGCAACATACTACTTTATATATTATAAGGATAAGATAAAATAATAGAAATGGAAATTTTAAATATTTTATCTTATCCCAATAGATGGCATTGTGCAGCTCTGTGGATGATCATGGTTATTCAACATGTGACTCTACTAATTACATTTTATCTAAAAGCTTACCTTCTTTAGTGTGCTTATCAGAGTTAATAATGTTGGAGAGGACGTCATTAATTCTCCAAACAAATATTATTAGATTGGCCTATTACAGATTTTGCAAATAACAAGCAAGTTTTTATTTTAACCAGTGCTGCTTTTTTTTTAAAGAACCTTCCAAAAGTTGTGCTTGCTGTCTTCTGTTTGCCTATGTCCTCTTCTACAGATTTCAAACATGCAGAAGACATTAAAAAGTACTTACTGTTAATAAAAAGTGTCCTTCACACTTCAGCCCACTCTCATCGAGAAGGTCAGCCTATCAGTTGTTTGTGTGTCTCTTCAAAGATGTCTGTGTGCTCT